GCTACGCTCCCTGCTGTTTTTGTTTGAATCAGGCAAGAAATGACAAAGTTATAGGCAGTTTCATGATTCGCCATTATAGCCTATGGGCGAAACGTTGAAACGTGTTTATTTAGTAAAACAGTTTCGGTGAAACAAAATGGAACAGTGCTTCGAAACAAAATGAAACATCAAAATGAAGCACTGTCCCTTCAAAACGGCAAAATGGAAGTTGAAATTAAAAGGTGCTGTTTTGCACAGCCCTAACAGACATACACACATTTTTTAGGTCATGGTCACTAGATGGAGCCTGAATACAAATCTAAGAAACTTGTGAAATGCCTTTTTCTGTGTCCACACTCAGCTGCAGTGCTCCTGACTTCATTATAAGAAATCCCTAATCTTAGTGAGTCCCCTTCAGAGCTTAAGAAAATGCATAATAAAAGTAAACATTAACTCAGGGCTGCAGGAAACAGCCACCATTGCTTATATTTATTCCAGCTCTATTTAAATCCACTGGCAAACAGCTGATTTATATAACTTAAATAACATTTTAAATAATATATATGAAGACCAATACATATATAAGGCCTATTTGAACTTGTAGATGCACATATTTTACACACCTATGTACCTATCCTGCCCAAAACCTGCTGAGGCGAGTCCTTTGAAAATGTATCTGAGCACATTCTTGATGAGGTATAGAATGATTTAGAATTGCAACTCCTCTTTTTGCTACTATAATCTTGACTCTGTCTTATTTCCAGTCTGAGGCACACAGATGTCATGACAGTCTGGTCTGTCTAGGTCAGCAGTGCCCAAACCTTTTTCCCCGCATGCTAGATGGGCAGTGCCAGGTGTGTCCGTGGGCTGGATCTGGGTGGTAGGCCATATCTGGCATGTGGGGTGGGTGCAGCAGGGGAGTACTGGCAGTGTTAACTGTTATTGCTTCACCACTGCTAAATTTTCTGACCTATGGGGAGCCCTGCAGGCTGGATGCCATTGTTTGTGGCCTGGATTTGGCCCACTGGCCAGGGGTTGAGCACCCCAGGTCTAGATACTTCTAGGGACTTCATCACCACATTCTCTGAACAATTCAAAATCATTAATAGAGTTTATCTTTACAACATCCCTGAGGCAGAGGGAAGCACCTTCACCATTTCACAGTCAGGAGACTGAAGCACTTGGGAGGTTAAATGACTTGCCCTGGGTCACCTAGGAAGTTAGTAGCTGAGTAAGGAGATGAATACAGTAGGGCTGTGCAAAGCTTTGGTCCCTGATTCAAATCAGCGGAGATTCGGCCCAATTTGGTGGCTGAATCTCCAAATCTGAATTGAATCAGAGGACCCTTTAATCTCTCTGAATTGAATCAAAACCCTCTGAATGGATTCAGACAGTTTCGGAAAGATTCAGAGATTTGTACATAATCACAGCTTTAAATGTTTTTTCTACATACCTCTAGGTAGCTGGTGGCTTGTGAATGCTGCAATGCTGGGGCGCATGGAGCATCCCAGAGGAATACGGGGGGATCCCCAGTGCGTTCGGCAGCAGACCCAGAAGTGGACTAGAAGCACTTCTAGTCTGCTTCTGGGTCCGCCGGAGAGCTCAGAGGGCCCCCCTCCCCCAGCTCAGCAACTGGTGCCTCCTGCATCTCGGGGGGCACCTGGGGTCCCCCTGTGGCTGATCGCTGAGCCGGGAGGGTGTGGGGGGCCCCCCAGCATACTCCCTGGCAGACCCGGAAGTGGATCGGAAGTACTTCTGGTCCACTTCCGGGTTCTCCACCAAGCACATGGGGGGGCCCCTGCGCTCCTGTGGGACACTCCATCCACCCCAGCATTGCAGCGTTCACGAGCCATACTGGTACTTTGAGGTATGTAGAAAAAACATTTAAAGCTGTGTCTATGTCTGAATTGCTGATACTCTGAACCAGCATCGAATCTTCAGATTCAGATTCAATCTAATCGAATCGGGAACAGTGATCCGAATCAACAATCACTATCCCTGATTCAGGCTGAATCTGAATCAAATAGGGCCCACTTCACACACCCCTAGAATACAGGCCTCCTGACTCTCAGTCCAGTGCCTTAGCCACTAGAACCTCTTTCCAACCCCATTCCTAAAGAAATTTAAAAAATGAACTACTCATTTTGTTCAGAATTTGATACCAACAATTCATACAGTGATTGGAGAGTTGCCTAACACGGATGCAACCTACCTGACCCTGGGCGGATCTACACATTCATTAATGCGCCATAATTACAGCACATTCAGTTTAGTACCTGTACAGGTACTAACTTAATGCACTGTAATCAGAGCTATTGAGCATTAGTGCAAATGAACTTTTTTTTTTGTGATGCTACTGCACATTAGACTAAAGTAACTGTGCATTAGTACATTAGCATGGGCTTTGCCCACTGCGCTAATGTGCAGTACAATTAGTTTTCTGTGCATTAAACACCTTGTGTAGTTGCACCCGGTGTTAGTCTATAATATCCCACCCTCATATCCTCTAATAACTCTGACACACCTAGGAACAGAGTTCAGATTTTCAGAAGCAATTACGGGGCTATATTCTGGATGGCAGAACGTACCTCCCCACCAACAAAAGTAGCAGGGCCAACTGTACTTAAGCCTGATTTAGTGCACGAGGGGAAATAATTAAAAGGCAACAACAAAAGGCTCGGATAAGTGTGACCCAAATTATTGGGAGGTTTTTGAATTAAAACCAAAACCTGAATACTAAAACATATAACTAACTGACCCTCTCTGTACTGCGCACATATCCACGCAGCACTGACTAGACTCCCAAAATCCAAATTCAGTTGATATCAGAGCCAGTATAAATCCCTGAAGACATTTTCTTGTTAGGTTGTTCTGAAGTCTTGGTTAGGAGGACAGGGAGGACCTTCTAAAAAGTCAGTACAGGTCAGACCCAAGTAAACATTATTTTTTAATGTATTATCAACTTGAATGATACATCAAAAGAACAAGCCCCTACCTGACTGACAGGTGTCCACACTAGCAGTGACAATTACAAGAAGTTGACATGCCTCTGAGATTTCTGACCTCTGAAGCTGAGGATCAGACAGGTACAGATAAGCGACAACATTATTCCCACAGCAAGGTTACTTAAAAACAGAAGAATACAAAGCCTTGTGTTACACAACCCTGAAATGGCTGTGGGTACAGAATCAGGCTCCCAGTCTCCATTCACAGTGGGATTTCCAAACCACAGTATTTCAGTGGATCCAAGAGGAATGATATACACAAAGAGCTCAGGTTGGGAAGAGGTTGAAGTCATTCACCTATGGGTTGCCAATATGCTCATTCCATTTTCTTTCTCTCCATCTGTAACCGTATAGCTAAGGTAGGGAAGAGAGAGTCTGAAGCTGAGCCAGGTAACTTTTTTTGTGACAAAGTAGATTTGCCGAAAAAATGAATCTAAGGGCAGCTGAGAATATTCATGAATGTGGGTCAAATTTAGTGAAAACCTTCAGGTGAAAAAAACCCAAAAACTTGAGTAGAATCTGTAGAATGTCAGAATATTTTGCATGGATATTTTTGAAATCACAGAATCATAGAAAAGTAGATCTAGAAGGGACCTCAAGAGGTCATTTAGTCAACTCCCTGCTGAAGGCAGGATCATCCCTGATTAAGCCATTTCAGCCAGTGAAATATTTCATTTAATTTGAAAATGACAAATGTTCAATTTCGATGTTTTAAAAATAAAACTTTTGACTTTTCATTTGAAATTGGTATTTTTCATTTAAGTTAACTTTTTATGAAAAATGTTAAAAAGAGCTAAGTAACTAAAACAAAAAGAAAAAAACATTTTGATTAGAATCAAATAAAATGTTGGGTTGACTCTAAATACAATATTTTGTTTTGCAAAAATTTTTTTAAAAATCCTGAAATATTTCTGTTTCAGTTCAACCCAATCTAAAAAATTCCATTATTCACCCAGCTCTTGATTCAGAGTGCTCTACCCAAGCCAGGGGGAGCATTGCCATTGTAATCTCAACCAGGAGGCTGGGATGGCTTTCAAATTCCTATGAGATTCCCAGATGACTGGGGCACTGGGCCACCTTACTTAGGCCAGTGCCCAGTGTTCAGCTGTCCTTCTGTCTAAAAGCAACTCCTCGCTACATCAGACAGTCAAGAGGAGTTCCAAGGATTACATTTCAATGGATCTTGGCCTACATATCATCTTCTCCCCCAGGTTGCTCCTGCAGGTCAGTGACTGACACACATTGGCTCAGGAGGAGGTAGAAAGAGCTTGCTCAGCTCTTGCTCTTTCTATACTTATCTTGTGCATGATAAAAGACTTCTTTCTCCATCTGTCAGGCTCAGCCCAGCACCTTTCACCCATTCTCAAGCTATTTGTAAACAATGGATCACAGTGTTGAAATCTCAGCTTGTCTGGCCAGATGCTGGAAGGTTGGGGAAGAAATGAAAAATATTTGATTTTAAGAAATATCAGGAGGAATATGCAAGTCTCATGTTGCAAATTGATGGTACAGGAGGGGAAATTCCTTGACCGCAACCTCAGCCTTGTAGTACCTATCAGCATATTAGGCTTATTAAGGAGGCTATTTGCTGGTATGTGAAGGTGTGGGATAGGGGGGGAAAGGAGGGGGAATACATTACAACTGCTGTCTAGTTTCACACAGCCCTCTGGGAATTGTCAGCAAGGTTTTACATTTCTCTAGTTCCTATCTCACCACATAGCTAATAGGGCCCCAAAGAGCCTCTGCAGATTGCAGCTGCTGCCTGCAACTCCCTCCCTCCTTTCTGCTTGCCTGCGTGTGTATATGTGTGTGCGCACGCACATTTCTCTGTGTGTCTATGGGATGGGCCTCACTGCAGCATCTAGCGTCAGCCCAACCTCATCCACTTCTGATAGGCAAGACTCTGAGGTCCAGCCCAGCCCTGGTTAGCTCTGATTGGCAGAGCTCTGTAGTCCTGCCCAGTTTTCCTGGAAAGTTCTTGGAAATCTATCAAAGGTATTTCTTTGAACAGAGAGAGCGACAGCAGCCAACTGCTTTATAAAACAGAAAACAACTTACAACTTTTCAGTTAGGTCCCTGGAAGAAGCTGACAGCTCTGACCTGACCTTTAAACATTCTGCCTTTCCCTTTGGGGATTTTGCTATACTCTGGAGGCTATTTTAGCCCCCCGTCCCCTGCAGTGCAGTGCTGACATCAAGACATCCATTATAGACACATCTATTTATACTTTTTTTTTGGTTAATGTCGGGGCAGTGATGTGAATACAATACAATTCCAGGAATCCGTCACTTCCTGGAACAGATTAAAAGGGGCAAACAAAAGATTACTTAGTGGTTTTTTCACAGGGCTTCATAACTCTCAGAGCTAGTGTTAGAGCAGGTTGCTGCTCTCCCAGCTCCCTTCTCCCTTGGATTCAGGGAGGTCTTATTTATTAATATCTATTTATTATTATTGTTTCAGAGGGTGCTTTGAATCCTGTGTTGAGGATTTTAAAGATCGTTCAGAAGGAGGTTTTTTTCGTCCTCTAACAATATTTTCTTTTTTTTTCCCTGTGGTTATTTTTTTTAAGTTTTCTTTTTTTTCTTTTTCTTTGTAAAGAAGAGTAAAAAATATTTTTTCTTATCTTCAAAAGCACTGGGATTGACTACATTTTTCTAGCTAAAGTTGCTGAACAATCAGTAAAGTATTTCTTGGGGCAGCCTGCTTTGCTTTCTGCCTGCCTTTTCCCAGCGTATAAACTCCAGAGAGCTGTGGAAGGGGTTTAGCAGGAGCAGTTCAGCCTTCCTTTTTGTGAAGTCGTAACCAAAGGCTTGTTCTATCTTCTGTACTATCTTCTGAAGCAACGAAGAAGGAGCAAGAAAAAAGACGAAACCAGTTTTCCACCCTGAAGACTTAATGCTTTTTCCTTGGTTCAGGAGTGACATGATCCTCTGTGTTCAGGGGTAAGAATCCTTGTATGTTAAATTGTTAAAAACAGTCTTAATGATTGTAATAAACTCTCTGGACTGGATTCTTAGCTGATGTAAGCTGTTGTAAGCCTATTCAAGGGGATAGGTTGATTCACACCAGTTGAGAATCTGTCTCTCTTGCCTGATTTTTTAAATATATTATGTCCAGAGGGATGTGATCAGATGAGATTCCCTATTTCTACATTGTCCATACTTTAGAAATCACATAGTGTTCAAGGTCCTCTTGGGGTAAAAAAATCACTGAAGAAAAAATGGTAAATGTGCTGTACAATGAACCATATGTACAACTAGAGAGGACAGAAGCAGGGGATAATAGGACTATCTAGTGTCTCCAGAGAAGCAAACTACCAAACAAAGGAAGAGCTTTTTAGGTGTTTCAGTTTTGTTCTGTTCCTGATTAAAATGGATATATAGAATGAATTTTAATTTGTACATAGCTTGTATATATACAGGTGTACATCTGTGTGCAGATAGCAAATAGTAGCTTGTATGTACAAATATACCTGAGCATACAGTACATTTTAGAAATTTTAAAAAATTACAAAAAGTCAGTGTGCCCAATCTCCACTTAGGTACCCACAAATATTTGTGGATGGCTAATTTTATCATGTAAACACCTATTGCTTCTGTGCATACAATAGCACTTGTCCAATAAAAGATACTATCTGCAAAAATCCATGCCCTCCCCTCAACATTTGTGGGTCATCTGAGTATGTAAATACATAAACTGCATGATTATATTAGACACTTTTGCACATTGCTCATGTTAGTCAGACCATGATGTCATTTTAACCATTCCTTCTGCCACTAGAGGATTTTCCCAACAATGTTATACTATTGACCTGTCTACTGTTAAGTGACTCAAGTATGGGGATTTCCATCAGTTCCCCTAAGAGTTTATTCACATCTAATATTGTTCACTGTTACCAATATTTTCCTGCTATTCAACCTCAATTTTCCTTTGTTCAGTTTCAACTTTGTTTTCAGCCCTTTTTGACAGTAGCTAGAGCCAAACCAAATGAAACTGTTTTTATAGGTAGGTTTTGTGAGATGTGAATATTATATGCTTTACCAAAATGCTGTCACATAATTCCTTTCATCCACTAAACATCTGTTATTCAATGGGGAAATTCCAAATTTGTCATTCAAATGGGGAAACGTTTGTGCATAGTTTGGTCTTTATAAATTTGATTATTGCTCAAGTTTTCATTATCTTGTAGGACTTACAATATTTTGGATTAAATTCTGCCCTTCTTACTCAGACAAGACTCCTGAAGGAATTCAGGGGGGAAATGTTCCCATGTACTGTGTATGAATTCTTGTTGCTACAATGTTTGACTTATCAGAAAGGCATCCAGAAAGCTAAGTCTGGGACCATAAAAGCCTTTTCTCTTGTACCTTCTTGGTTCTCCAGATCTTTTAAAAAAGTTAACTGGGTTAGTCTGAAATCAGCCATAAGGCAGGGTAGATGGTAAGTGTAGTTAGTCTATAAAGATGCATGTCTTTCCTGCCTTCAAAAAGTTAACGGTCAGAAAGTTTGTGTGATCTTTTTCTTAGGACCCAAGATGCATATCAACCAAATCTACTGCTTCTCGTAAATTCATTTTTTTCCACATCATCCCATATTTGCTTCATAGCAGCAGCTCGGTTGACAAGCCGTTTTGTTTCTGATCTTCTAAACTGCTTTCTCCTGCTTAGTAGCTCAGCCATTTTTAATGAACATTAATTAGCCACTAATAATGGGCCCACTTTCTTTCCATTATTTCTTTAGCTGCAAGACCCATTCTTATCCCCCTTGTTGAGGTCAGAACAAGGTGACCCTATCTATCTAACCCAGGAAAACTTAACTGTGTATAGCTCTCTCTGATCCCCCAACAGTCTCCTTTCTTTAAGTTTCCCCCCCTGTGGAACCACATTGGCTACATCTTTTCCTTTGCCTTAATTATGTTGTTATTTAGGAGTCTTATGACCTCCTGTCATCCATAGATTTTAATACTTCCTCCCATTTCATAATGTTCACTAAAGACCCTATCAAATCCAGGCCCTTTCTGCAGGGAGGATGACAGCAAGCTCACACACAAAGAATAGGACAAGGTCCAATGAGCATAACCCTTCCTTGTACCCTTTCCTAACCCCTTGCTTTATACAAAAGAAGGAATCCACTGGAACCACATGAGGTTTGGGCTCCATTGACTATGGATTGCAGGACTGGAAAAGAATGTGAGCCAGAAAGATGATGAGCATTGTAGGTGAACCCTTCTGCCCCAAACTATGTTGGCTTCTTTTCACCTGAGCTAACTGAGGCTGTGGAGAAGAGACTGTATATATACTTTAAAGACTTAAGGTCTAAGGACTTTCTTTATCTCAAGAATGGGGTGAAAATGTGAAAGGATGTGAAGTCAGAGGTTACATGGCTTCCTTTAGTGAAGGGGAAACAGCTTGTCCTGATGGCTTCAAGATGAGTCCTGAAGTTTCAGAGGCAGAATTCCAGGAAGCAATGGAAGAGACAGGGCAGCCAAACACACCCAGAAGCAGGACTGGCTAAAAAGTGCTCAGTTAATGTAATTAGTGATGGGGTAAGATTTTCATTCATAACTGCTTCTTCCTTCTGTCCAGTCTGCCTCATATAATTCCTAATCTTCTTTTCAAGTCAGGTGTCTGAAAGACAAGGCAGTTCTCCAGCTAGCAATGAGAAAATATTTCTTTAGGTTAAAGACTGTGTTCAAGGGTGTGTCAGGAAATTTTCCAGGAGGAAACAAGATCAGGCAGGGTTGGAATCTGAGCTGCACCATCCTTATTTTTGAGGAACAAATGAGGACTCTACAGTGTTGGCCCAAATCCCCCCTACCTATCAGTGTGTGAAGTCATTGTCACCTCTGCAAAATGTGGCTGTAGAATGCTGCCAGAACAGAATATGCCCCCATAGCTACATTTTTACATCCTCTTTACACTGTTCAATAATTATACAGCTTACAACATAGGGAAAACAATCAGACATATCATTCTCTTTCCCATGAGAGAGCAGTCAAGGCCAGATTTATAGAGGCATTTATGTAGGAGTTAGGTGCTGAAATACCTTTAAAAACAATATGACTTTCAGTTCCCAGAAAAGCTACTGAATTTAAGCCAGGTGACACTTTACTTGTAGAAAGTCAGGGCTTCCCTATAGCAGCAAATACAGAAATGAATATTACCCAGAGCCACTGTTTTCAAGAGCCACAGAGAAATGCTTTGGACACCAGTTCTTAGAGATCATAGGTGAAGATTTCAGTTAAGCACAGAGTTTTTCTAGGTTTGGTTTTAAAGAAATAGACAGAATTTACTAAAATAATTCAAAATCCAAATGGGTCAGATTCTGCTACTAGGAAGTGCTAAGGCCAGGACCAACTGTGAAGACAAGGCTCATATAAAACTCACACTGCTTTCTGAATGTGGAACATTTCATTTTATGGGGCCAGGATGCCCCCTTCAATGTGACAAAAGAACAAGCATATTTTATTGGTGGCCTAAATTTACTTAGGAGCCAATAAAACTTTCACCTACCCACTCTTCTGTAGTCATATTAAAAAAACCCCACCATCATGGAACTCTGATTGCAGCACTTTTCCTTAAAGGAAAATTTCCCTATCATTTTCCAGTTGCTTGTGTTTTTCTGTTTTCCTTGTATCCCTCCTTTTGTGTTACATCTGGGTTTCAGCATGTTGAAGAGAATGGAGTCTGCCCTGGTGGGATAACAAAGATTAATTTATAACCTCAGTCCCCACCTCATCTACACTGACATATGCCTGTTAAGCACCACTCGATATAGCTGGTACAGGGCAGGTCTACATGTGCATTTGTGCCATCTTAAATTTACTGCACAATAAGTTACTGCACAATAAGCAGGAATAGGTTGGCCTCTACATGTGCAGGCATTAAAGCACATTAACGCTGTGTGTGGACTGACTTGGAACTAAACTTAGTCCCAAGTCAGCCCACATACACACACTGTTACTGCACAATAAGGTGTTTACATGTGTGTTACTGTGCAGTAACTAATTGGGCATGATGCAGGTATCAAAATATGCTCATGTTGGTGTAGGTCACCATATTTACTGCGCAGTACGGGTGTGCACATGTAAACATGTATCCATATTGCGCAGTAATTTTGGTTAGTCCCATCCTTTTTCTTAAATGGGGGAGAATACTGCAGTTCCCTTTTAAATCTCTATTAGTTCCAGGCAGACCTTACCTTAATGAGATTGCTTTCAAATTGGAGATGTTATTGCATTACCCTCAAAACTCATTAATCTTATGTTTTCTGGTTGCAGAGTATTCATCCTAGTGTTAGATGAGGTGGGGATAACATTGGAATATGTTGCAGTATTAGGCAGTGCCACAGCACAGAGTGCAAGGAGATGCAAGGCATGAGTCTGACACAAAAGGAACTCTTTTATTGGCTTGATGCAAAACTTGGGACACTGCCCACTGCAGTGAAACTGGCTAAACCCTCATCCTGGCTAAATACTGATTGAAAGGACAACTCCTATCCTCCCATCCCCAAATACTTAAAATGTCACTGAAGATCATGGCTTCCTTTAGCAACCCCTATGGTACAGAGTTAGACTTGCCACTGTTTATATTATGTAAGATCACAAAGGCACTTTACTGCTAGTTGTTAGAAGGCTACAGTACTGCTCCCTGGAAATATTTGTAAACCTGCTGAAGAATGCTCCTCACAGCACTGCTATATGTCAGAATCCATCTAATACTGTAAACCCACCAAGCACTGAGTAATAAACTTTACATTAAGTTTCCTTTATGCTATTTGAACGCTATAGTTTGTACTGTGCCAGGGCTGGCTAAAACTTTGAACAGGATTAGTCTACTAGTATGACATTTCAAAAATCAGCCCACACTCACTTTTAGTTTCTAACAGGCACAGTAAAATCAAATCACCCTGCAATGAGAGGGCAAGAAAAGAAAAAAAAAACACGCTGGGCTTGGTTTTTCTCTTATATTATCATAAATCATTCCACCAAAGTAAATGGAGGCGTTTACACCAGCGTAAGCGAAACTCAGATCACTGGGTGTCATTAGGTACCTTATCTCCTCCCCACCCCCATATTCAAATGTAACATCCTATGATTAGACTTTGCATCTGGCATCACAAGGTACAGTTTGAACTACTGCCCCTCCCAAGATACAGTAGTTCTGTGATATATTTTTCTGCACCTATCTCCATTTGAAATATAGGCTTAGCAAGGATCTGTTGAATGAACGCAATGTGCTGTAGCATGACACAGCACGTGCTGAGCTGATGATGCAACATCATGCAAAGCAAGGTAAAATAATATGACTTTCCCTTGTTTCAGACCTCATCCTTTGCTGGCAGAGGAGAAGAGCAGGAGACTCTCTCTCAGAGGCATTGCAGCAGATTTGTCAGAGCCAGTCATGCAACCTCTCTCTGTCACAGCCTTCCAAGAAGAGTCTGCCCCTGCTTTTGTGGCACCTGCTCTGGAGATCAACTCGCCTCGGATGCGAGACCCTGAGGAGGATCTGATGTGCATTGCCAAAACATTCTCTTACCTGCGGGAATCTGGTAAGACCCTTTCTATCTCATAGCAGTACCTTACTGGCATATGCAGGAGCTTTGCCTTTAATAGCTCAATCCAAAGAAACGGGAACAAGCTCCTCTTTCTCACTGGCCACATCTACATGAGCAGCACACTGCACAGTTGTTACCAAGCAGTCATTTAGTATTTGCATAAGCAAGTACTAAATGACTGCGCAGTAGCTATCATTACTGAGCAGTACTGTTGCTGCACAATTTTCTCCAGATGCTATTGCACAGTAGCAACATGCTACAGCACAGTAGCTTGTTACTACTGTGTAGTAATGTTGCCGCACAGTTAGTGCCTGACAATGCTACTGCACAATAGTGTCTCGTGTAGATGCACCTACTTAGTCCCAAACCTGCAGCAACAACCTCCCCTTCTCCAGCCTGAGCACAACATTGAAAACCTAAGGTTGTGGGTGATGCTTGACTGCCATCACTCTAGGCAAGACGCCTATTCTTACCTTTTCCCAAACCTTGATTTGAATGGGCTTCAAAGCCTCCAGGATAAAAGTAGCCTGTTAGCAGTAATAGTTTTCTAATTAACTCTTTCTGGGATTCCTTTCCAGGCTGGTACTGGGGGTCTATCACTGCCAGTGAGGCCAAGCAACACCTCCAGAAGATGCCTGAGGGCACGTTCCTGGTACGAGACAGTACCCACCCTAGCTACCTGTTCACGCTCTCTGTCAAGACCAACCGGGGGCCAACCAATGTGCGCATTGAATATGCAGACAGCAAGTTCCGGCTTGATTCAAACTGCCTGTCCAAACCCCGTATTCTGGCCTTTCCTGATGTGGTCAGCCTTATCCAGCATTATGTCATGTCCTGTACAATGGAGAGCAAGAATGATGTTCCTTATCCACCTCCCTCGCCCTTGCCCCCCATACAGAAGGAGATGGCAGCAGCAGCAGTACACTTGAAACTGATCCGACCACTCAGTCGCAAAGACAATGCCCCCAGCCTACAGCACCTGTGCCGGCTACGGATCAACAAGTCAACAGCTGAAGTGGACCAGCTGCCTCTGCCCAGGCGGATGGGGGACTATTTGAAACAATACCCCTTCCAGCTATGAGGTGCTGCTGATGTTTCACAGATGGACAAAAAGTCTAATAAACCCAAATAGAACCTCGATCTGCTTTTGTCCCACTGAAGTGTGGCATCAAGTGGGCACAGTAAAGACCTGGTCATCAGCAGAGACTGCATCCATCTTTCCTTCACCTTGCCCTCTAATTTCATTCCTACACCATGGAGGAGCTGGTTGTACCAATGAACCATGCGGCACAATCCAACCTCTGAACCTCCAAGCACCACTGACAGTGGCTCGGAGGAAATGTTTGTGGCATGTGCACACTACTTGAATTTCAGAGTGCTGTGACACCAGGAATGTTTAACATTGTTATTTTCACTATTTATTTCCATGGTAGATTCTCTTTTCACAATATTTTAAAACACCTTCTAGTTCATTGTTTCTGTTTCTTTTTCTTTCAAGAACTTAGGGATGGACCTGAAATGGAATAAAATATCCCAGCCTATAGGACCCCCAATAGTTTAGAGGTGTTTGGATCTAAATTCCTATCTGGATTTGAATGTCACCTACTTGTGCTTGTCCTTGTAACAGGCCATGCCAAGGTCCACATCCAAACACCCCCAGAATTAAGGAGAAGTTCAGATTCAAATCAGAGCTTGGGTCCAAACTCTGGCATCTAGGCTCCATCTCCACAGCATGTGGAATATTTCCTTTCTTCCTAAACTAAGGGGCTGGAAAGTGTAATCTCAGAGACTGCACATGCCAGTCTGTGCACCCTACAGAGATGCTTCACTGAGCCAGCAGTGACAGAGACAAGAGCTAGAAGGCTTCTTGGGAGAAAGTACCTCTCCCTTGGAAGTCTGTATAAAAAATTCTACATGCTAAGCTTGGAACAATAAGCCCCCTCCTTCCCCATTTCAAAAGGAAATTTTCAAATATTTAAATAAACTAATTAGGAAGAGATGCCTCACAATGATTATTTGCAGGCAGAGGGGTGCCTGTGGCACATGCTCTCTTTTTATCAGGGCTGTTCTCCTGTCATTGCCCTTATCTCAGAGAATCAAAAAGGGGGCGGTGGCATCATCGCCCTGGCTCAGAGCTGGCTCTGCTAAGCTGCACTGATAACACACAATTTTATGGTATTTATTTATTGTTTTGAAGAACAGTTTGATGAACCCACCCAACAGAAAGAACTCCCCCTTCTCCCTCTACCATCGCCACCAGACTGCCAGTTATCAGCCCCTTCGCACTGGTTGGCCACCATCATCCACCTTCAATACAAAATGTGTGCTTTATTATGTTCTAGTTAATTTGTTCATGGAGTTTTCCCTGCTGAATAACATTTAAATTAGTGAAGTTAGTGTTGATTCTGCATCCCATGTTGGAAATGCCAGCATCCAGACCCTCCAGGGCTCCCTTCTTTCTCTGACAACTCATATTTGAATTGCTTCACAAAAAAAATCCTGTCCAAAATCCTGGGCTTCAAGATGAAGCTTAAACATTACTCTTTGCCCCTCCCCATGCCCCAGCACCATAGCAAATAAATCACAATGGATTATATCAGCCCTTGAGGCTCTGCTAGATAGGACAAAAAAACGGACCTCTTTAACCAATTCTTCACCTCCGTTTTCTTGTGCAGGGACCGGGACTTCCCTGCTGTGATAGAAGCCGGACGCGAGGGGATCGCCTTCAGACCTCAGGTTGGGGAGGACCGGGTTAGAGAGCTTCTGGAGGGGCTGGACGCGTTCAAGTCAGCGGGTCCGGATGCTCTCCACCCCAGGGTGCTGAGGGAGCTAGCTGGGGTTATTGCAGGGCCCCTGGCACGGCTCTACGAGCGATCGTGGTGCTTGGGCCAGGTGCCAGACGATTGGAAGGTAGCTAATGTGGTCCCCATCTTCAAGAAAGGGAAAAGGGAGGACCCGGGCAACTATAGGCCCGTCAGTCTTACCTCAATCCTGGGGAAGCTCTTTGAGAAGATCATCAAGGAGCACATTTGTGATGGGCCGGCATCAGAAATGATGCTCAGGGGCAATCAGCATGGATTTATTAGGGGGAGATCATGTCAGACCAACCTGATTGCCTTTTATGATCAGGTCACAAAGGCCATGGATGCAGGTGTCGCGGTGGATGTAGTCTTTCTGGACTTCAGCAAGGCCTTTGACACCGTCTCTCACCCCATCCTAATTAATAAACTAGGCGACTGTGGCATAGACGCCTACACGGTCAGATGGATTGCAGATTGGCTGAAGGGTCGCACTCAGAGGGTGGTGGTGGATGGATCATACTCGACTTGGGGGGAGGTGGGTAGTGGAGTCCCCCAGGGCTCGGTCCTGGGGCCTGCGCTGTTCAATTTCTTCATCAGCGATCTTGATGTTGGGGTGGAAAGCAACCTGTTTAAATTCGCTGATGACACCAAAATTTGGGGGGAGGTGAGCACGCTAGCAGGGAGAGAGAGATTGCAGAAGGATCTGGATAGGTTACAGGGGTGGGCAAACAGGAACAGGATGTGTTTCAATACGGACAAGTGCAGGGTGCTGCACTTGGGTAGTAGGAACCAGCAGCACACTTATACGATGGGGAACTCCCTACTTGAGAGCACGGAGGCGGAAAGGGATCTTGGTGTCATTATTGACTCCAAGATGAACATGGGCCGACAATGCGAGGTCATGGTTGGCAGGGCTAACCGGACCTTGTCGTGCATCCACAGGTGCATCTCGAGTAGAGCCAGGGAGGTGATCCTCCCCCTCTATGCGACGCTGGTCAGGCCGCAGCTGGAGTATTGTGTCCAGTTCTGTGCGCCCCATTTCAGGAGGGATGTGGACAACATGGAGAGGGTCCAGAGGAGGGCCACCCGCATGATCCGGGGACAACAGGGCAGACCCTACAGTGAGAGACTGCGGGACCTGAACCTATTCAGCCTCCACAAGAGAAGGCTGAGGGGGGACCTGGTGACCGTCTATAAACTCACTAGGGGGAACCAGAAGGGTTTGGGGGAGACGCTGTTTCCCCTAGCCCCCGCTGGCATAACAAGGAGTAATGGGCACAAGTTGATGGAGAGGAGGTACAGATTGGACATCCGAAAAAACTACTTCACAGTTAGGGCGGCTAGGAGCTGGAACCAACTTCCAAGGGAGGTGGTGCTGGCCCCTACCCTGGGGATCTTTAAGAAGAGGCTGGATACTTACCTGGCTGGACTCATTTGAGTCCCGTTTTTGTTTTTAGGGTGAGTGGTTTTGTTTGTGTTTTTGGGTTGTTCTCCCGCCCTGGCGGGGGGGCGGGCTAGAAGATCTATTAGGTCCCTTCCGACCCTAAAACTATGAAACTATGAAACTATGAAATGGATTCAGCCAGGCAATGACATGGAAGGTGAGGCTGCCTCCTGAGCACTATCATTATATCCCACTACCTCCCCAATTCTTGGCGCTCTGTGGGGACAGATAACGTCTGCTCTCTATAGCATCTTCTTTTACCTCGGAGTTCTTATGCTATAGCAGGCAGGTTAATCTTAACCTGGTGCATACTTTCCCAGCTCTCCATACAAGCCAGTGCTGGGTTTCCAGGATTTTGTGTGCTTGGAGAAAGATGTCAGGGTTGTGAGAGGAGATGAGACAATGACCCAAGGGATGACCTTAAGATAACTGGTGGATTTTCCTTTCTCCTTGTAGGGGCTGCTCATCTGAGGCACAAGTACAACCTGATGTATTTAGCCAATGTCCTTTTTTATGTTTTTACAAGTTGTTTTATGCTTGTACAAGTTTTACAAGGCAGAATCACTGCCTTGTTTTTGATACTTTGATGATTGGCAGTGTGTATGTGTGTGTGTGTGTGTGTGTGTGTGTGTATGATGTCAGGTTTGCCTATCACTGTATCCTCCCCCCCAGTTTGCACAATGTGGCAGGGGCTAAGGGAAGGCAGCCTACTGAGAAATAACATTTAAAAACAAATAAAAAATACATTAAAAAACATGAAACCACTCAAAAGGCTTCCTTTGATACAAGCTCATCTGCCTGTCTGAGGACAACAGAGATACTGGGAACCAGGAAACCCCAGGGCACGTGTACATGTGATGATGGATTTCAAAAAGAGCAATAATTATCTCAGGAAGCCTACAAACATAGCAAGTCTGTGGAGAAGGTCCAAGATCAGTCACTACAACTAATGTGTTCAGTAGGGAGATGGGGAAAATTATTCGGTCTCCTGAATTTTCCTTTGTACCTATAGAGCCACATTTCTGTTGGGGTGCTGATAGAATAAAGCCTGTAAGGTTCTGACCTCCTGCCCTATGAGAACCCAGTTAGGAATGGTGGCTTGTTGGAAAGAAGAAGAGGGTAACCTCACTGCATGCCTGGTCAACTGGGAAGTGAAATGATGCATGCAGAGGGGAGGCTAGAGGCTGTAAGCTCTTAGGCACCAAGACCATTTCAGTTATATATGTTTGTACAGTGCTTAGCACAATGGATCCTCTAGGTGCTACCATGGTCCAAAGAATAAAACAATAATATCCATAGACTCCAGAAAGTCAGTTTCTTTTACCTGGAGACAATTTGTTAAAACATAATTTAATCTGGATTTTAAGTGAAAAAGTTAAATGCAGTTTAAATCTTAAAAAAATGTCTGGTAATATCCAAATGGGCCCATCCACAGTGAGTCTTCATTTGCTTTTTTTCAGCAGCCCAATCAGAGCAGAAGGCATAACCTTGTTACCTGCTCCCAAACCTGCCAAACAAACTCAAAACACCATTTTTATCATGCAGTGATTTGAAGAGGCCAGAGTTTAAACTAATTCTAAACTGAACATCCAAGGCTTGGTCAAGAAATAGCTATCTGATTTCTGCTCCATGCAGAGGAGCTGCAGGCAATGACAGCAAAGATCCCAAACTGTCTGGATGTGAAGGAATGCTCTCAAAACCTTCTGGAGTGTAGGGTTGAGGTGTAAGTAAATGCAATGTAAGGGTATTTCCAGGCACTGCTGAAAGCGTTACTGAGGATCATGTCCATAGCCTATGTGCTCACACTGCACATGCTCCAAACCCAGAAATAAGACAGCAAAGCGGTCCTGGGAATACTTTTCACCACCATTCTCAAGATCCCTGTCTCCATTATGCCTGAGAAAGGTAGGGGGAGCCAAGTCCAAGTGGGCTTCATCACCTCATTTCTGGCTTGGTTCATACAGAGCAAAAGCAAGTAGACAGGATGTAGTAGTCTCATGAGCACCATGGAAACAGGATAGTCAGACCTAAAACTCTGTTTACACCAGGTTTGAATGTGACCTCAGGTCCAATATTTTCATGGGACCTCCAAAACCTACACTTCTTCCTCTTCCCCTTGTCCTAGAATTGGCTTTTCCTAAGAACCCTTATTGCCAGATCCACACTCATATTAGCTGATGATGAGATTTCCACTGCACACAGGAGATACTTTGGCAGTGCAATCA